ATAGTCCGAATAATGTAAATAGTGTACATTATACATCATCTCAGAAATATAGACAGATACTGAAGGGCCGAAACGTTGCAATACATATGGCGACAAAGATGAGGACAATAGTCCGAATAATGTAAATAGTGTACATTATACATCATCTCAGAAATATAGACAGATACTGAATGGCCGAAACGTTGTAATAAATATGGCGACAAAGATGAGGACAATAGTCCGAATAATGTAAATAGTGTACATTATACATCATCTCAGAAATATAGACAGATACTGAAGGGCCGAAACGTTGTAATAAATATGGCGACAAAGATGAGGACAATAGTCCGAATAATGTAAATAGTTTACATTATACATCATCTCAGAAATATAGACAGATACTGAAGGGCCGAAACGTTGTAATAAATATGGCGACAAAGATGAGGACAATAGTCCGAATAATGTAAATAGTGTACATTATACATCATCTCAGAAATATAGACAGATACTGAAGGGCCGAAACGTTGTAATAAATATGGCGACAAAGATGAGGACAATAGTCCGAATAATGTAAATAGTGTACATAATACCTCATCTCAGAAATATAGACAGATACTGAAGGGCCGAAACGTTGTAATAAATATGGCGACAAAGATGAGGACAATAGTTCGAATAATGTAAATAGTGTACATTATACATCATCTCAGAAATATAGACAGATACTGAAGGGCCGAAACGTTGTAATAAATATTGCGACAAAGATGAGGACAATAGTCCGAATAATGTAAATAGTGTACATAATACCTGATCTCAGAAATATAGACAGATATTGAAAGGCCGAAACGTTGTAATAAATATGGCGACAAAGATGAGGACAATAGTCCGAATAATGTAAATAGTGTACATTATACTTCATCTCAGAAATATAGACAGATACTGAAGGGCCGAAACGTTGCAAATACATATGGCGACAAAATGATGAGGACAATAAATATAGTCTGAAGGGCGAATAATGTAAACAAAGATGAGTAGTCCGTACATTATACATCATCTCAGAAATATAGACAGATACTGAATGGCCGAAACGTTGTAATAAATATTGCGACAAAGATGAGGACAATAGTCCGAATAATGTAAATAGTGTACATTATACATCATCTCAGAAATATAGACAGATACTGAAGGACCGAAACGTTGTAATAAATATGGCGACAAAGATGAGGACAATAGTCCGAATAATGTAAATAGTGTACATTATACATCATCTCAGAAATATAGACAGATACTGAAGGGCCGAAACGTTGTAATAAATATGGCGACAAAGATGAGGACAATAGTCCGAATAATGTAAATAGTGTACATAATACATCATCTCAGAAATATAGACAGATACTGAATGGCCGAAACGTTGTAATAAATATGGCGACAAAGATGAGGACAATAGTCCGAATAATGTAAATAGTGTACATTATACATCATCTCAGAAATATAGACAGATACTGAAGGGCCAAAACGTTGTAATATATATGGCGACAAAGATGAGGACAATAGTCCGAATAATCTAAATAGTGTATATAATACATCATCTCAGAAATATAGACAGATACTAAAGGGTGGAAACGTTGTAATAAATATGGCGACAAAGATGAGGACAATAGTCCGAATAATGTAAATAGTCCGAATCTCAGAAATATGTAAATAGAAGGGCCGAAACGTTGTAATAAATATACAAAGATGAGGACAATCAATAATGTAAATAGAAATATAGAAATATAGACAGATACTGAAGGGCGGAAACGTTGTAATAAATATGGCGACAAAGATGAGGACAATAGTCCGAATAATGTAAATAGTGTACATTATGCATCATCTCAGAAATATAGACAGATACTGAAGGGCCGAAACGTTGTAATAAATATGGCGACAAAGATTATGAAAATAGTCCGAATAATGTAAAATAGTGTACATATACCTCATCTCAGAAATATAGACAGATACTGAAGGGCCGAAACGTTGTAATAAATATGGCGACAAAGATGAGGACAATAGTCCGAATAATGTAAATAGTGTACATTATACATCATCTCAGAAATATAGACAGATACTGAAGGGCCGAAACTTTGTAATAAATATGGCGACAAAGATGAGGACAATAGTCCGAAAAATGTAAATAGTGTACATAATACCTCATCTCAGAAATATAGACAGATACTGAAGTGCCGAAACGTTGTAATAAATATGGTGACAAAGATGAGGACAATAGTCCGAATAATGTAAATAGTGTACATTATACATCATCTCAGAAATATAGACAGATACTGAAGGGCCGAAACTTTGTAATAAATATGGCGACAAAGATGAGGACAATAGTCCGAATAATGTAAATAGTGTACATAATACCTCATCTCAGAAATATAGACAGATACTGAAGGGCCGAAACGTTGTAATAAATATGGCGACAAAGATGAGGACTATAGTCCGAATAATGTAAATAGTGGACATAATACCTCATCTCAGAAATATAGACAGATACTGAATGGCTGAAACGTTGTAATAAATATGGCGACAAAGATTAGGACAATAGTCCGAATAATGTAAATAGTGTACATAATACCTAATCTCAGAAATATAGACAGATACTGAATGGCCGAAACGTTGTAATAAATATGGCGACAAAGATGAGGACAATGGTCCGAATAATTTAAATAGTGTACATATTACATCATCTCAAAATATAGACAGATACTGAATGGCCGAAACGTTGTAATAAATATGGCGACAAAGATGAGGACAATAGTCCGAAAAATGTAAATAATGTACATAATACCTCATCTCAGAAATATAGACAGATACTGAAGGGCTGAAACGTTGTAATAAATATGGCGACAAAGATGAGGACAATAGTTCGAATAATGTAAATAGTTTACATTATACATCATCTCAGAAATATAGACAGATACTGAAGGGCCGAAACGTTGTAATAAATATGGCGACAAAAATGAGGACAATAGTCCGGATAATGTAAATAGTTTACATTATACATCATCTCAGAAATATAGACAGATACTGAAGGGCCAAAACGTTGTAATATATATGGCGACAAAGATGAGGACAATAGTCCGAATAATCTAAATAGTGTACATAATACCTCATCTCAGAAATATAGACAGATACTTAAGGGCCGAAACGTTGTAATAAATATGGCGACAAAGATGAGGACAATAGTCCGAATAATGTAAATAATGTACATAATACATCATCTCAGAAATATAGGCAGATACTGAATTGCCGAAACGTTGTAATAAATATGGCGACAAAGATGTGGACAACAGTCCGAATAATGTAAATAGTGAACATAATACCTCATCTCAGAAATATAGACAGATACTGAATGGCCGAAACGTTGTAATAAATATGGCGACAAAGATGAGGACAATAGTCCGAATAATTTAAATAGTGTACATTATACATCATCTCAGAAATATAGACAGATACTGAATGGCCGAAACGTTGTAATAAATATGGCGACAAAGATGAGGACAATAGTCCGAATAATGTAAATAGTGTACATTATACATCATCTCAGAAATATAGACAGATACTGAAGGGCGGAAACGTTGTAATAAATATGGCGACAAAGATGAGGACAATAGTCCGAATAATGTAAATAGTGTACATTATACATCATCTCAGAAATATAGACAGATACTGAAGGGCCGAAACGTTGTAATAAATATGGCGACAAAGATGAGGACAATAGTCCGAATAATGTAAATAATGTACATAATACATCATCTCAGAAATATAGACAGATACTGAAGGGCCGAAACGTTGTAATAAATATGGCGACAAAGATGAGGACTATAGTCCGAATAATGTAAATAGTTTACATTATACATCATCTCAGAAATATAGACAGATACTGAATGGCCGAAACGTTGTAATAAATATGGCGACAAAGATGAGGACAATAGTCCGAATAATCTAAATAGTGTACATAATACCTCATCTCAGAAATATAGGCAGATACTGAATGGCCGAAACGTTGTAATAAATATGGCGACAAAGATGAGGACAATAGTCCGAATAATGTAAATAGTGTACATAATACATCATCTCAGAAATATAGGCAGATACTGAATGGCCGAAACGTTGTAATAAATATGGCGACAAAGATGAGGACAACAGTCCGAATAATGTAAATAGTGGACATAATACCTCATCTCAGAAATATAGACAGATACTGAATGGCTGAAACGTTGTAATAAATATGGCGACAAAGATTAGGACAATAGTCCGAATAATGTAAATAGTGTACATAATACCTAATCTCAGAAATATAGACAGATACTGAATGGCCGAAACGTTGTAATAAATATGGCGACAAAGATGAGGACAATGGTCCGAATAATTTAAATAGTGTACATATTACATCATCTCAGAAATATAGACAGATACTGAATGGCCGAAACGTTGTAATAAATATGGCGACAAAGATGAGGACAATAGTCCGAAAAATGTAAATAATGTACATAATACCTCATCTCAGAAATATAGACAGATACTGAAGGGCTGAAACGTTGTAATAAATATGGCGACAAAGATGAGGACAATAGTTCGAATAATGTAAATAGTTTACATTATACATCATCTCAGAAATATAGACAGATACTGAAGGGCCGAAACGTTGTAATAAATATGGCGACAAAAATGAGGACAATAGTCCGGATAATGTAAATAGTTTACATTATACATCATCTCAGAAATATAGACAGATACTGAAGGGCCGAAACGTTGTAATAAATATGGCGACAAAGATGAGGACAATAGTCCGAATAATGTAAATAGTGTACATTATACATCATCTCAGAAATATAGACAGATGGCGGATTTCTCTGTGTGAACGATTTTTCTTTTACGGTTTAGGTGGTAATATAGATTCGAAGTGCTGGTTTGTCAAAATAAGCAATGACTTCGAAAAATAGTCTCCAGACAATAGATTTTTCAGAGCGCAGTAACAAATGGTCCCTTCAGGGTATTAGCTGTTTTATGGCACATAGTTAAATTCTTTCTTTTTTTCATTCATTCTTACTATTTTCAATCATTCCCTCTTTTCTTACTTGTTTCCTACACCTTCTCTCCTTTCATCTATATATCTAGCTAACTAGCTACCTAGCTATCTAGCTATCTGTCCAACTCAGCCTTTTCAAAGTGTTTTACCACCTGTCTCTCTCTCTCGCTCTCTCTCTCTCTCTCTCTCTCTCTCTCTCTGTGAGTGGATATATGTGCATAAGCAGGAATCTAAAAGTCCGAAGTTTGACATATTATTGGAGAAAATATCTATCTATCTTTCTATCTATCTATTTGTGTATTTTATTAGTAGAACTTCTCAAAGTCTTTTATCTCTTTCTCTCTCTCTCTCTCTCTCTCACACAGGATTTCTTTCTCTCCCTATCCTTTTCTCTCTATACCCCTCTCTTCTTTCATCTATCTATCTATCTATCTATCTATCTATCTATCTATCTATCTCAGTCTATTCATATCTATCTATCTATCTATCTCAGTCTATTCATATCTATCTATCTCAGTCTTTTCATATCTATCTATCTATCTATCTATCTATCTATCTATCTCAGTCTTTTGATATCTATCTATCTATCTATCTATCTATCTATCTATCTTAGTCTTTTCATATCTATCTATCTATTTATCTCAGTATTTTCATGTCTATCTATCTATCTATCTATCTATCTATCTATCTATCTGCGTATATTCTTTATAGAACTTAGTGTGGCAGTGAAATCAAGCAACCCGTTTTTTCTCGAAGCTGGAAGTGATAAATACTTTCCGTCATGTCGATTACTAACTTTTCTGAAATTCAGAAAACAGAATAGCGTTTTAACATTTATTTCCCACGTTTTCAAAAGCAAATTTTCTCATTTCTTCACTTTTTGCGAATATTTTTGGCAACTTTTCTGTTTTTCGTCTCTTTTACTCTCCATTTCCTTTTCCTTTTCCTGCAAGCTTTTATTCTTCAATCGAGCAATCATTCTAGCACTCATTTCTTCCAGTCGTGAAACAAATTCTTTTTTAGAATTTGTGATAAAGAAAAACATTTTCTCGTCCTGTTTGGAAAAGATTACTCGCATAGTTTTACACATTATTGGGTCTCAAACTTTCTTCTGTTTTAAGCGCAGCGCTCCCGAATCTTTAAATTATACAGCGGAACCTCAGAATAAAAGCGACTACTTCTTGTGGATATTTCTTTCATGGATAAAGCCCAACCCAATAAGCTAACAAAAAATATTCATTCTCAGTCAGTTTTCACATCAGTAATCTGCTTGGCTAATTTCGAAGAATAATGTCTTTCAAAGTATTGTCTAAGTTATTTATCCATGATATTGTATATTTGTTTTTAATCTAAACAGTATTTCCTCGTCTTGATTATTGTAAAACTATCTCTTGATTAAATGTTTGTCAATTGAAATGAAAGAATACCACAGGTTGAAAATTAAACGTAACTGTTATAACCTAAGGAAGGTTACTGAATAATCAAACAAAGGTTGGTAACGTACGATAATACTTAGGACGAGAACAGCGCATATAAGATTCGCCAGCGGCGCGTAAAAGAAGTAATCAGCTGCTAGACGTAAGTCAAGTGAATTCGACAATGAATCTCCAACTGCAGGATACCTACCATCCGCCCCACTCGGTCAGATGTGGCACAAGGCCGAATTTAATGCGGGGTATCCGAGCCCGTAGGCTCGGCCAAAAAATCTGCGTAAATCTCGTGTAAAACGGGGTCGGGTAGCTGTTTTCTGAGACGAGATTCTGCCCTTCGGCATAGCCTTGTCTGGGAATCCTCTCTGCCCGGATGCAGAGAATTTGACCAGCACAGCTGGAGACGTATCTCATACATACATTTACTACTGTATTTATGTGAATGTAGACATAACTATCCATTATCGTCCGTAGGTAGGATACAACAGTAATGATCTTAAGTGAGAATATATATATATATATATATATATATATATATATATCATTCATTCGATCGGTTAAGGCACGTCAGGCTAATTGACGGTTCCGTATAGGATACAGGTTCGATTCCTGACGGAGTAAGAATATTTTCTATGAAAATTTCTCGGACATACAGGCAGGTAAATGTTATTAATACTGTTTATTATAAAAAACAGAACATTTACTTAAAATATTTGTATCTATAAAAAGAATGTATAAACATAAAAATGTCTTCAAAGAAAACAATGTTCACCAAGATAAATCGATTTAAAAAAATCACAATTATGACAAATAAAAAAAAAAAGATACGGAATACGCTTCTTTGACTGCCTAGGAATCATGAAATAGAACCAGTGTCTTATAACAAGTCCTGACCTGGCATCTTCGTTTCAATCGCTTTTCCATTGCTATAACGTAGTTTCCCTTTGTCTTTTCGAGAAATATTTTTGTGGCAATTGTTCTGATGAGCTCTCATCTTTGGTACTTCTACCTCATGAATTTAAACGTAGTACTAGATTGGCAGGTAGGTCTCATCATGTTACTGTTGGAAATAAAAAAATATAATCGTAAGTTACACTGGAAATAAAAAAGTGTAACCGAAAGTTCAGTTCCTGGTTTCTACATTCGTCTGTGGTGTTTTCTTCTAGTTTCACTTCTGTTACTTCTGATCAGCTCCCGTCTTTGGTAAATTTACCTCATGAATTTAAGCGTAGTACTAGATTGTCAGGTAGGTCTCATAAAGTTATTGTTGGAAATAAAACAAAATGTAACCGTAGGTTCTGTTTCTGGCTTCTTTCTTCGTCTGTGGAGTTTTCTTCCATCTTTTTTCCTTCCTGTTAACTTCATTTTTCAAAAATGTAAATGCAATACCAGTCATCATCTTGTCTCATTGAATCTTCTTCTTTTTATTTTCCTTTCTCCTTAGCAACGTTTTCCCTGTTTACTTCCCTTCCAATAAATCCTTGCCTCTTAGTGGCTTTATTGTCTTGCTGGAGGTGAAATAATTAACCAAAGGAACAACAAAAATAACCAAAATGGGGATGAATGATTAGATTATAATAAATACTTTTACATTTTTACATGATTTAGGGATTGGTAAGGTTAATACACGTTATTATGAAATATAAAATACGGGTGAAATACTGGAAGTTCTATGTAGATTAATCTTCATAACGCCACCAAAGAAACCAGGTACCATTTTGTACAAGTGCTCTCTGAAATAGTCAAGCTGCTCGTAAAAGTTTCGTTTGGAATAAACGTTCGCTCGGGATTTTTTTTTACAATTAAGTTAATAAATAAGCGCGCCGTATGGAATGGGTATTTATGAACTTGATATATAGGAAGAGGATAGAATAATATTCTGCAGTCTATATCTTCAAGTTTGAAAGACGGGCGTGTCAAGAATGTATTTTCTTGTTGGATTTATTGAACCTGTATAGCAAAAGAGGTTTCTAAGATAATTAGAAGACCTCTTCCGAGGAATTATTAACACAGGTTTATACATAAAAACGCATGCTACGTAAATGGCACTAACAGATGCAGAAGAGAAATGACGATTGATGTATTAAATAAGGCAGTCACTGAGAAGAAAAGCGGAATTATTTAAATGCTACTTGAAGGAAAAATCCTTTCAAAATCTACGCGAAGTACCAAGTGTATACCCCGTTTTCAAAAAATCGGCTCAGTGCTCAGCCGCCTTAAAGTATAGACTCATAATTCACTTCAGTAACAAGCTCTTTGAAGCTATGATTACCAAGAAAGATATTGATCACCTTAAGCGACAAGTAATACAGGTTTCAATTGTACAGATCCACTGCTGATGTCCTAACTACTATTACACAGAGAATCAATGAGGTACTAGACAACATATACATCTAAAGCACAATAGCCTTATATTATTGCAAAGGCCTTTAAGAAGCTTTGGCATAAAGGACAACTGTACAAGCTCTCTAGCTATGGAATCACTGGAAGTATCTTTCTCAATTATAAAAATTTATAATTATATTTATATAATTTATAAAAAGAATACCTACACGGCCCGGTGGCTAGGATCAAAGTGTAGTATCTGTGCTTTGTGAGCTGCCGGATCGGGTGTCTGTCGAACTCTCTGCTTGCAGAGAGGAACCCGGACGAAGCTCCGCCGAAGGGTAGGGTTTCGTTGGGGGAGGTTGACGGAACTGGCCCGCCTCGGCGGGTTTTGGATGGTTATTTATTTTTGGCTGGGCCTACGGGCTCAGAGATACCCACATTAAAAAAGCCTTGTGCCACATTCGATCCCCGTGGGTGGATTGATAAATACCATCTTTCTCAATAATAAATCGTCCCTAATAGGTAGGTCACTGAAATAGTTGTTAACGGCCAGTTCTTCGATGCCCTACCAATCAATGCAATGGGACTAACCCTCTTTCTACTTTACATAAATAATCTGCCTAAGAGTGTACTCTGCTAATTTGTAAATGACTATTTTTTTTTTTTAATCATTTTACCACAAGCAAAGCGGAAATGCCACTAGTATGTAGGGGATTACCAAAGTGTGAAAGTGAGAGAAAACAGTGTATATAGGGGGGGTTGAGGAAAGGATAAAAGATGGACAGGGTTCTAGAAGACAGAAGATGGCGATTGATGTTGCATTGAATCTTTTGAAGATTCAAATTATCAGGGAAGCAATTAAACGGAAGAGAGTTACACAGGCGAGAAGTGCGAGAAAAGAAACAGTTAGCGTAGAAGTGACGGTTGCATTTAACTATTTTAAAGTAAAGGGATGAAAAAAACTGGATACCATTCTAGTAACACGCTTAAATTCATGTAGACGGGGCACCATGATAAAAAGAACAAAAAATTGCCATATAAATATTTGTAGAAAAGACAGAGGGAAGCCACATCAGGTCGGTGAGAAAGTGACTGAAGTAAAGATACTAATTCAGGATTGATTACATTGCAGATCCTTCTTTGGAATTTTTCAAGAACATCCAGATGAATAGCAGGAACACCAGACCAGATATGGCGACAGTATTCAATGCACAAACGAATGGTCACTGGATTAAGTAATCCTGTGACTTTACCCAAATAGTTGTGAGTTCAATAACTGGCCACAGCAGAGGTGGACAAAAAACACACTTAGAAAGTTGAGTTACTAAAGAGAAATAACTGAAACTAAGATATCCAAAAAAAGGCATGGCATGTGGAGCTAGAACAATGTACGTTGTGGACTATATAAAGGGTTCGGCTAAAAATCACAGCGTATATCACCTAAAGAAATCCAGGACGTACAACTGCCGAAAAGTAGTGAATTTGAAAATAAAGATAAAGACAACAGTCCGAACAATATAAATAGTGTAAATAATTACAATACCTCATCTCAGAAATATAGACAGATATTGAAGGAATGAATATGGCAATAAAGATGAGGACAACAGTTCGAACAATGTAAATGGTGTAAATAATTACAATACCTCATCTCAGAAATATAGACAGATATTGAAGGAGTGAATATGGCAACAAAGATGAGGACAACAGTCCGAACAATGTAAATAGTGTAAATAATTACAATACCTCATCTCAGAAACAGATATTGAAAGAGTGAATATGGCAATAAAGATGAAGACAACGGTCCGAACAATGTAAATAGTGTAAATAATTACAATACCTCATCTCAGAAACAGATATTGAAAGAGTGAATATGGCAATAAAGATGAAGACAACGGTCCGAACAATGTAAATACTGTAAATAGTTAAAATATATCATAGAAATACTTACACCAATTTCTCGATTTAATGCACTGGTCTAATGTCCCATGTGACAGTTGAAAGTGAAGAAGTTTGTGTCTAACGTCCCCATTGATGAGTGCCGCTGCTAGAACATATAATGCTTGACTGCACACGCCGAGGCTTATTTTATTTTATTTTTTTACTTGGGCTACTGCCAGAAACACATCAGCCGGTATGCTGTGATGCCAGCTATGTAAATAGTGTAACTAATGATGTCTTCTCATTCGAAATTTAAAAAAAAAACTAAATATGTGATATATATCATACCCATGTCAATGTCTATACAGGTTGTAATATGTGATAGATATCATACCCATTATTGTCTTTACAAGTTCCCAGAAGGACATACACTTCATTTATATAGTGTCGAAGTGCAGTTCATTAAGTTTAATACATGTTATTATGAAATATAAAGTATATATACGCTTTAAATAAACCATCATGTCATAAGACAAGGCAATAATAAGCAGCATAGAGATTGTAGTGATATTAGACAACTATTCATAAAC